AATTCCAAATGCAATCTCAGACTGTGTAAAGAAACCCACAAAATGGGTTATATCAGAGATCTTTACACCCCACTCTTGTGTTCAAAATGGGAAAAAAAAATTAGGGGATCTGGCACATTCCAAAATGACCCAATGGTCATATGAAAACCTAGTCCCAGAATTAGACTTTGCGGACATGACCTATAAGTTAATCAGAATGTTTCTTTAAGAATTAATCCTTGAAATTCCATTCAGGTGAGGAAGCTATAAGATGTTTTTATATTTTCCTAATAGTTAGTGGGAAACGTTGTAATAGAGATGTAAACACAGTGTCTATTCTCCAGGGCTCTAGAATCAAATAGCTTGGATTTAAAAGCCCCTTTCCCCTTTGTATGGTCTTGAACACATTACTCAAAGTAGGGTCACTTCTCTGTGCCTCAGATTTCTCATGGTCAAATAGAAACTATATTGCAGTAATATATAATAAAATACAATGAGATAATATATATTCAGCACAGTACCTGGCACATGAAAAGTGTTCCAAAAGTTTTATCATCATCATTATTGTCACTATCATCATTATACTTGGCTATTTTTACTCTCTCCAATTTTTTAGTTACTTTCCCAACTTTATGCTAGTTTTATGCTTCATTGAATTGGCAGTGACTCAAAAGCGAACTCACCATATCTAAGTGTTTTCCACAGAATGTGTTGGGGAAATTTACAACTGATCTTTTTGGTACCAGCAGCTAAGGCTACCTTTCCTTTAATCACCTTCTTGTTTTATTAGTAATACCATGACGTGGATTGTTTACATAAAGTTATGCTTCAAAAATAGGTAGCTTGGCCAGGAATGACGGCTCACGCCTGTAATCCCAGTTCTTTGGGGAGTTGAGGCAGGAGGATCACTTGAACCAGGAGTTTGAGAGCAACTTGGACAACATAGTGAGACCTTGTCTCTTAAAAAAAAGAAAGAAAGACAAAATTAGTGGGGTGAGTTGGCAGGCACCTATAGTCCCAGCTACTCGTAGGACTGACACAGGAGGATCACTTGAGCCTAGAAGTCCAAGGTTGCGATGAGCCATGACCATGCCACTCCTCTCCTGCCTGGACAACAGAATGAGACCCTGACTCAAAAAAAAAAAGTTAGCTTATTTCAAATCATCAATAATTTCAGCCTAAATGAACTAACTAGGAAGGTTGAATAATAAGTAGTAAGTATTTACTACTTAGTTAATGAGAATCCACTGAGTCAATGAGAATTTCACTGAGTGAAAATCTCCACAATAAAAAAAAAAAAAATTAGCCGGGCGTGG